CATTTTTTTTTTTAAAGGTCAGCAAAATGCACTTGGACAAAGCTTCGCCCTGGCGTTTGTTTAAAAAATAAATAAAAGGGCCTTAGTTTTGCGTTTTGGAGGCGTCTGGGACCTCAGGGAGGCTACTTTGCTCTTTAAACTTTAAAGGTAAGTCCTTACCTTTAAAGTTTAAATGTAAGACAGGTTTTTTTGCGCATGCGTGAAAGATCGCCATTCTGTGGATGGCTGCCTATGCGCATGCGCAAACTAAGTTAAAAAAACAACAAACAAACCGCCGACGCCCACTGTGTGTGGATGGGTGTATTGCGATGTGCTGCACAGTCAGGAGGTGAGTGTGATCGCGTTTCAGCCGGCATAAACTGCACCGGTTCCAACCGGTACAGTTTATGCCGGCTGAAACGCCCCATCTGAACGCACCCTTTGAGTGCGGTTCTCCAACCAGTTCCCTGTCCACCTAACTATCCTACAGTCCAGTCCACCATGCTCTGGTTTACCCATCAGAACATCATGGGGAACCCTGTCATAAGCTTTACTGAAATCCAGGTAAACAACATCAACAGCATTCCCTTGATCCAGTAAGCTTGTCACTTGATCAAAGAGGGAAATTGGGTTGGTCTGGCAGGACCTGTTGGGGACAAATCCATGCTGACTTCCCCAGATCACCAAGTTGTCCTTTAGATGCTCACAGATTGATCCCTTTAAAATCTGCTCCAGTATCTTCCCTGGGACAGAAGTCAGACTGGCTGGCCTGTAGTTTCCTGGGTCACCCTTCCTCCCTTTTTGAAGGGATAATATCTGTTTGGTGTAGTGGAGCCAATTTGGTGTAGTGGTTAAGTGCGCGGACTCTAATCTGGGAGAACCGGGTTTGATTCCCCACTCCTCCACTTGCACCTGGCTGGATAACCTTGGGCAAGCCATAACTCTGGCACAGCTGTCCTTGAAAAAGAGCAGTTTCTGTCAAGAGTTCTCTCAGCCCCACCTACCTCACAGGGTGTCTGTTGTGGGGAGGGGAAGGGAAAGGAGTTTGTAAGCCACTCTGAGACACCTTTGGGTAGTGAAGGGCGGGGTATAAATCCAATCTCTTCTTCTTCTTGAGTTGTCTTGTGGCACGCCTCCCATCCCCCAAGAGGTCTGGAAGGTTTGCAAGTTCTCTGGAAAGTTCTTTCAGCACTCTTGAGTGCATACCATCTGACCCAGGGGATTTGTACTTATTCAGTGCAGCCAGGTGTTTCTCAACTACCTCTCTGTCCATGTCAATCAGCATCCCAGACTCTGTGTCTTGCCTACTACCATCTCTAGATAAGTCCATTCTCTTCTTCAGGGAAAAAGCTGAAGCAGAATAGGCATTAAGCCTTTCTGCTTTCTCTGTGTCCTCTGTCAGAGTTTCTCCATTTTCACCCAACAGTGGGCCCATCACCTCTTTTATCTTGTGTTTGCTCCTCACATATCTGGAGAAGAGTTTCTTTTTGTAGCGAGCCTCCCTGGCCAGATTTAGCTCACTGTAAGCTTTGGCCTCTCTGATGGATGACCTACAGTGCCTAGCAACCCGCAGATACTCTTCTTTAGAGGTATGTCCTTGCCTCCGTTTCTTGAACATTTCCTTTTTCTCCCTTAGCACATCATGGAGTTCTCTGTTCACCCACATTAGAATCATAGAATCATAGAGTTGGAAGGGATCTCCATGGTCATCTAGTCCAACCCCCTG